ATCCCATGTGTTGGTTTTCAACACCAATGTTCGATCCCATGTGTTGGTTTTCAACACCAATGTTCGATCCCATGTGTTGGTTTTCAACACCAATGTTCGATCTTATGTGTTGGTTTTCAACACCAATGTTCGATCCGATGTGTTGGTTTTCAACACTAATATGTTTACCAGAATCATCAGAAAGATACAGCTCTCGAGTTTTGGAGGTAACTGTTTCCTCTGATGGCTCAACACTCGTACTTGATGAGGCAGTACGTGAAAACATTGCAATACGATCTTTAACACTAACTGGTATATGGTTGAACTGACTGTGGTAGAAGTTGCTACTAAGTTTTAGGTTTTCATGGTTCTTCTGTTTCATATCGATGTCTCTTTTGCTGCTACTTGTTTGGTCAATAAACCTTCGTTTTTCACATGAACCACCTGGTCTATTTTGGACTAATTCAATATCACCACTCAATATGTATTTCATCTGTTTCTCAGAAGAGTTGTCTTCCACAAGAAAAGACCTACTTGATTGCAAAGGCTGGTTATTTGGGTTTAAACTTGGTTTGGGTGGAGGAGTTGGTAACCTCTTCTTGTTAATGGACTTTTCAGAACCTATAACGCCCTTTGGATGTTCATTTTTTGAGAAGCCGTTTTGGACATAGTAACCTGTTTGTTTCATTGTATTGTCTTCGGTAGCTAGTTCTGTAATACGATCCTGATCAATCTTCTTGCTATGGGATGGATCACTCAGTTGATCATCGAGGAACACTCCCGAATCCTCACCAACGCTGGGAGTCGTCAAGAGACGAGATTCACTGTACTTTGGAGGAAACTCATGACCGTCAGGAGGTTGACGTGACACTTCTAGTGGAAGAGATGATGACTTGTGGAAATACTGGTTATCAGTTGGGTTACTGTTGATAACCACTTCCATATTAAAACAGTCGCTGATTTTATCATCTGCAAAACAAACAAACAGAAGGTAAACAAAACCGAAACTGGAGAAGTGGTTATTACTTGCTATCTGAAAGGTTTGTTCTTTAGATATACTGATCTTTTTAACTAGACTAATACCTGAAACATACAGCAGCTAACTGAAAAAAAAACAGAAGCAAAGTCTTAGAGATAGACTGTTATCGCTTTAAGCTACATTGGTCTTGACATCATATGTCAAAGGAGTGTATGATTCACTTTCTACAGATAACTTGTATAACTGATTTAGTTTTATTGAGCGCAATAAATCAGATATCGAACAGCACATCTTGTGTGTTTGATTTAGTTTTACTGAGCGCAATAAATCAGGTATCGAACAGCACATCTTGTGTGTTTGATTTAGTTTTACTGAGTCCAATAAATCAGATATGGAACAGCACATCTTGTGTGTTTGATTTAATTTTACTGAGTCCCAATAAATCAGGTATCGAACAGCACATGTTGTGTGTTTGATTTAGTTTTATCGAGTCCCCAAAACGCGTTTCGCTAAAATCGTATGATAAGAAGTGTGATCTCAAACTACAATGCAAATGCATATAAACAGATCCTGCGAGAAACAAGAACCACAAGTAAAAAATAAATATTTACCTCTTGCGTTTAAAACACGAGAACGATTTTTCCCATAATATAATATTTGATAATACTTTTATTTGTTCTTTGTTTTAGGATATTTGCGCAATGTTACTCATGGGTTATGTCCACTAGCCGTCTTTAAATTTAACCAGAAATATTACAGAGGAGGCAGCTGGTCAGCACCACTACTTGAATTGTACTTGTCAGGCCGAATATTGGAATCTTACAATCACTCTTATAACGCACTCAGGGTCTCAAAGTGCGGAGCGCGCGATTTGTTTTTCAATAACGCAATACGAATGGTGAGGATCTGTAAGTTCATAGTCCGGTAGGCTACCTAACCACTGGACCTCTCGTGTCTTTTTGAAAAACTACATTAATTAGAACTCGTAATTTTATATTTAATTCTATTAAAACCAATTCACCTGTTCTGGTGTTTACGTCCTTCACAGAAACGCTTCGGGCCGGGCGTAGCCTATTGGTTAGTAAGCCGGACTTTGGATCCAAGAATCCCCCCCCCCCCCAATAAACAAGAATTGCGCTCTGCACTTTGAGGCAGGTGCGTTATAATAGTGACAGTCGAAGAATACCCGAAACGAACAAACAGTGATACATGATTTATTAGAGTTTAACTACATCAAACACAGGGTTTTGTGATCGGAATGTTTTTATCGTTATTTCACCAGGCATCGTAACCCGGTTTCTAGCGTTGTAAGTGCCACTTATAAAACCAAAACATGTGTTCTAATATTATTCTTTGTTTATATGAGACACACTTCATTGTCGATACTTTATGTTTAACTACATTTTTGTTATATTCTCTATATTAACTCCGTTTAAACTCTTTCAATTTGTTTGTTTATAGAGGACACGAAGGCATTAAGCTGCCATACAAAACAAAACAAAAAAGCGTAGAATATTTGAAAGGAATGACCTAAAACTGAATTGATTAATTGTTGTGCCTTTAGCATTAGTTCAGATACAGGGAGGCAACAATGATAATAACACATTCTGCAGTAATTTTCATTGTTACGCTCGTGGGCTACTAGCACATCAGATACATATTGTTGGTAGTGTAACTGATCAAAAGATCTGCATTATGATCAGTAACAACTGAAATTGAAACAGGGGGTTCATTGAAACCAGTAGAATTATTCGCGAAAAAATAAAAGCCAATATCTTTGACGATAAAACCAAAAACGACATGCACAATTATCTGATACTTTATGATAAGTGGCTGTGTGCGAAGATTATAAAAATAAGTTATGCACTTTTCTACCAACAGGCGGGGTTGTGTGTGTTTCGTAGCGAATATCCATTATTAAGGTTATATGTATGTTAGGGGTTATATCACCAACAAGAGATCCATTATAATGTTTTCTTAGCGTTCAGTCCAGAAAGAAACTAATAACGTTGTAATTGGTCAAGGACCAGCTAGTAAGGGAGTGGTCAAGTTACGGTAATGACCTCCACCGCCGCAGCGTGGTAGTAAGGGCGTTTTCGACCAGTCAGAGGTCCACGACCGAGCAGAGCTATTAATTAAAATAACTGAAGTTTTTGTGAAGTATACAAAAAGTCAAGTCACAACATCATATTTGGATACAAATAGTAATTACGGATCTCCTGATGTTCAGCATTATATCAAAAGGTAGAAGAGTTTCACACATCAAACAATACCAAACCCGAGTTTCACACATCAAACAATACCAAACCAGAAAAGCTTCTATCTGCCACCAGTCTCTAATTTTGAACTACTCACCAGCACCCGCCACCAGCACCCTATCACCTACCATACAATGACACTCTTATTTGAACTCGGAGCTCTGTCATAGGACCGCGTCCAACATGGACAAGTTTCCCCACTCCCTAGCGGCGATGTTACAAATGTCACCAACTTTAGAAGAACACGTGTTTGTTGTGATAACACTACTGAATTCGGATGCAATTGTGTCTTTTTGTTGTAATAACACACACACACACATACAAATCTCAATTAATTGTGCACGTGTGTAACAGCACTACAAAATTATGTGCATTTCACATGCTGATGAACTAATAAGGAACGGTTTTCAATAGTATATCATGCAAGTTTCTCACAACAAAAACAATGTAATTACTCTTACTAAACGTGCAATAACGTACACAAGTAACTTAGGTTTCTCATATATGTAAAGAAGACTCGTCAATCTAGCCGATTCAAGAGATTTTATCAGATTTACAAAGGTAATTAAATCACCGATTACAACATTATTCGGATAGAGAAACAAACACAGTACATACGAACGTGTCTATCTCTACAAATAAGAAAATCGTTCTTTATTACTCTGTTCTCACTAATTAGGTAAGTTAACCAACTTCAATTCGTACAAGTTTTCAAATTGATTTTTTAAGGTTGTTTGTGTTACTTGGCTGAGACCAAACTTATACATAACCTCTAACTGGTTCAGTTCCGTCCTAATTATACAGCTTGTTACGAAGGTGAGAACATTTCCATAGCAGCAAATCCCATAATAAGTTATAATGACCAGGAATCATTACATTTGACTTATAGCGCCATCTAGAGGCAGCTCCATACCTGTTACACTTGAATCTTCAGAGTATGCTCGATTGGTCGTCTGAACTTCTAAAGATAAACTACTACACTTCTCTGCTCTGATATCTTCAATCGGAGATGTTTCTAACACTTCTACATTGGCTTTCTTTTCTAACACAGCTGCAGAGCTGTTAGTATTGTCCTTTTGTTGGGATGATAGCGGTAAAGCCTCGAGCGTGGCTGTATGATCTATAGGTCGACCGGTTTCATCACTAGGGCTTTGGGTTGTTGACAAACCATCGAGGAGTTCAGCATCTGGAAAAAAAATTGTTGCCCGATTACTAACCTGAACAGTTGATTGTAACACAGTAAACATAGGTATTGTTGCCGGGTGACTACCCAACATTGAATGTTTGAGTTTAACACAGTCAACATAGGTATTGTTGCCGGGTGACTACCCAACATTGAATATTTGAGTTTAACACAGTCAACATAGGTATTGTTGCCGGGTGACTACCCAACATTGAAAGTTTGAGTTTAACACAGTCAACATAGGTATTGTTGCCGGGTGACTACCCGACATTGAATGTTTGAGTTTAACACAGTCAACATAGGTATTGTTGCCGGGTGACTACCCAACATTGAATATTTGAGTTTAACACAGTCAACATACGTATTGTTGCCGGGTAACTACCCTACTTTGAATGTTTGATTGTAACAAAGTCGAAATATGTATTGTTGCCGGGTAACATGTTGCTCTGTTCATACAACCGCATACAAAATAGCAGCCAGTGACACAACACGACGGATGAATATATATATATTTGTCTATTCATTTATTTTCCTATTTATATGTGTATTAATAGGTAGAGACAGAAAGAAATTACATAGAGAGATTAACTAATGGCTTGTTGTATAAAAATAGATAATATATGCACTTATCCAAAGTCAAACTATGGAGGCCGTTTTAAGTGGTTTTAACTCCACAAAGTTAATAGTCAGGTGACTTTAGGTATTAGCCAAATGGCGCCTGTTTATTGCACCCGACAACAACCCCGTCCTGTTTTTTAAAGGTTGGCCAGCTTACAAAATGGAATGTTGTTTCTCTGGTTTCCGGCGTCTGAATGGGTTATAGACTACAATAGCTCGTTGTCTGTAATACGTCACATGATCTTGTAGTTTGAATCTTTTCGTTTTGAATTCATGATGTGATCCAAATGTCGACGAAGACGAGATACGATTGGAATTACATCAATAACACGTACAAATCAACATTTTCACCGTTAACAATCGGCTTAATTGTTTGTCGATTGGAAATTTGATTGAATAAATAAGCACTTAATAGGACAATAGTATTATTCGTATAAATAATAAGACACATAAATACTCAGATATTGTTTAGTACAACGGGCCATCCGTGGCACAGCGATAACACCTTGAACTTATGACGATAACATTCGGGTTTCGGTACCAGAGGTGGGCACAGTACAAATAGCCCATTGTGTAGCTTTGCGCTTAACAACAAACAAACCACTACAATGAATTTGAATATTATTTTTACAATTAATAGAACACCCAAATAATCAATCCTGCCCTTTACAGCAGTTTTATGATCTTTATATAAGCTGAGAGTGGCCTAACGGGCAGTGTGCCTGATTGTGAATTTGAGGGTCGGTGGTTCGCGTCTTGTTACCGCAAAATCGCACTTTGAAGCTGTTGGTATGTTACGGTCAAACCCCACAACTGGAATGGAATAGCCCAAAAGTTATAGGTGGGTGCTGTTAACTAGATATCTTTCTCGTTGTGACAGTTCAGAATAAGGGGTGGCTAGCGTAGAATATTTGAAATAAATAAACAAGCAATCTATGATTTTGTTGTTAAACAAAAGATCACTTGCCTCAAAGTAACCGATTAAATTGAAACTGAATCAAATGATAATATGTTATCTACAGGTGCATGTATTACAGTTTTAAATACAATTGTTAGCAATAAAACAATTCAAAAAATAAAGAGAGTCTGAACATTTGATATTTTGTAACAGAACAATTCTAACAATTATAGCGTGTCGGATCTATTGTTACACACGCTTTGTAACAAGACAATTCTAACAATTATAGCGTGTCGGATGTATTGTTACACACGCTTTGTAACAAGACAATTCTAAGCGGATAAAGTGTGTAGGATCACTTGCAACTTTGCAACAACAACAACAAAATAATAACTACAATTATGTTGGACCTATTTTTATTGTTACTTAGCGTCAATACGTCAGATCACTTGTTACTTAGCAACAGAACAATTGTAAGAGGATAGAAAGTTCTGGATCACTTGTTACTTAGCAACAGAACAATTGTAAGAGGATAGAAAGTTCTGGATCACTTGTTACTTAGCAACAGAACAATTGTAAGAGGATAGAAAGTTTTGGATCACTTGTTATTAGCAACAGAACAATTATAAGAGGATAGAAAGTTTTGGATCACTTGTTACTTAGCAACAGAACAATTGTAAGAGGATAGAAAGTTTTGGATCACTTGTTACTTAGCAACAGAACAATTATAAGAGGATAGAAAGTTTTGGATCACTTGTTACTTAATTCACGCCTCGCATATGCTGCCGACCAGGTTTAAAGTATATCAAATACTTATCTTTATGTCAAACATAAAGATAAAATATATAAATAAGTAAGAAAAGATGTCGCTGCTAAAAGTAGAATAAATAATGCCTTGTTATTAGATCTTACTCTAAATCTGATTTCTAAATGACTTAAGTAAAAATGATAATAATATCAATTCACTGGCTGCATAACAGTTGGTGTTCATGAAATAACAATTCCCTGGCTGGTTCACACCATAACAGTTGGGTTCATGAAATAACAATTCAATGGCTGGTTCACACCATAAAGTTGGTGTTCATGAAATAACAATTCAATGGCTGGTTCACATCATAACAGTTGGTGTTCATGAAATCAGATGACGTAAAATGCCTAGACCACTACTATATCTGTCGTATCCCAGCTGACCTGATGAGTCTTGGTATTGTACGAAAGGTCTCGTCGGCACTGGATATGGCAGATGTTGTGCGGTTGACATATTACAACATATTCTTATTTGCTTTTGCATAATATTTCTTAGAATAAATCCGAAAATTCCAGATTTCTGTACATTTCATCACCTACCTCATTTTGGAAATACACTTATATCAATAATAACAAAATAAGTATTAATACTATTGTTCAACTAAAATCAAACCCCACCCCCTCAACCCTTTTCCCAACCTTCTTGATATTTGTCCAGGTTGGTCCATTGTGCGGAGAGGTAGTATGGAAGGTATGAATCTTGGGTAATTACGTTGTTGGTGTTAATCACGACACCCGGATACGTCTTCGTCCTACGTGACGTTACGTAGTAACCTGTACGAACGAATCTTGTACTTTAACTCCACTAACAATTACTTGAAATATGCAGTTTTACATCCGCTAGAGGGCTTCAACAACAAACTTAATCGTGAATGTGCGTGATGATCTGCTTCAAACAAAAATAAATCGTTAACTTATTACTAAAAAATCAACCCTTTTTTTTATTCCTTGACTTTTCTCTCTCCTTCTCAGCACAAAATTGCGATCACCGCCATGTTTAAAAACAATTAGAACGTCACCCTCTTTCATTCAATACACGAGAACGTGAAGTCAAAAGGGGGGCAACTAGAAAGTGACCCCGAGTTCGGACCCCTGGAATACGAGAATCCATTGCATAAACAAGTACAAAATAAGAAATATATCTATAATAAAGTAAAGATTACGTAAGAAATGAGTTGAGTACGTTTTGACCGTTAAAACTAATTTTGTATTATCGCGCCTTCTGCTGTGAATTTCTAACTATGGTTCACTGCATGTTGAAAAACACATTCATGTCGTTACAGTTAATTCTTTATCACCCGTGACTGACATTTGAAGGATGAGATAAATGTGATATTTACTCACTGTACAAAAACTAAACTTTTGATCAAGAAAGGAATTTCAATGTTGGGTGGTTTCATACCCTTTTCACCAGATACTTTTATATTCGGGGGGCCAAGTCATGTTCCCGGGCTCGCAAGATCTACACGTGTATCTCAGTAAACGTGCATATACCAACGTGGGAGAAAACTATTAGAAAGAAACACATGGCAATGAAACTCCAGATAGTTACAAACTTAGCACCGAAGTTTTTTTTTGTTTTCACTTTTATACTTAACTTCCCTCAAGTCTATCGGTACAAAAATTAAGGAGAGGATTACCACAGTCCAAATGTTTACAATCACAAGGAGAGGATTACCACAGTCCAAATGTTTACAATCACAAGGAGAGGATTACCACAGTCCAAATGTTTACAATAACAAGGAGAGGATTACCACACTCCAAATGTTTACAATAACAAGGAGAGGATTACCACACTCCAAATGTTTACAATAACAAGGAGAGGATTACCACACTCCAAATGTTTACATTAACAAGGAGAGGATTACCACAGTCCAAATGTTTACAATAACAAGGAGAGGATTAGCACAGTCCAAATGTTTACAACAACAAAGAGAGGATTACCACAGTCCAAATGTTTCGAATAACAAGGAGAGGATTACCACACTCCAAATGTTTACATTAACAAGGAGAGGATTACCACAGTCCAAATGTTTACATTAACAAGGAGAGGATTACCACACTCCAAATGTTTACAATAACAAGGAGAGGATTACCACAGTCCAAATGTTTACAATAACAAGGAGAGGATTACCACAGTCCAAATGTTTACAATAAAGTTTAAAACAAAATATAAATTACTGACTCCTATAAAAAGTTTGGCAATGTTTCACCATGTAAAGAAGTGGGTAATTGAGTGTCGGTGCTGCCATCTATGCTATTACTATGTTACTAGTCTTTCCTTCTAATAGAGTATCTAATTCTGTATGACACAAAGTCGAATCTATACAGAGAGGTAAGTAGATATACAGACTGGACAATAGAAGTTTTTATTATCGGCCTTATTATTTACTTAATTCCAGAAAGAAAAACTTGGCTCTTATCAAAGTAAGACAGTTTACCTTGTCTGTAGCCTATGGGCTATTAAATATTTCCTAACACTTAGCGCCACGATAATTTACAAAATGTATTGCAAAGTAATACGAAACGCATGTGTACAGAACGTACAGGCGAATAGCTTGCCTTTGGTAAATATTCTAGCTCTACTCTGACTTTGTGAAGTTTGATGACAGGCAGGGCGAGGGTTGGACCTGTGGTAGAGTTAACAAACAATTAATGTGAGGTTAATAATCATAGCTTAGGATAAAGCAGAGTTAACAAACATTTAGTAGCCTTTTAACAATCTTAACTTGGGTGCGTTA